CTCTGTCCACAGTTAGCCGCCACTCCACCTCCCCTGTGGTGGTGATCTGGCAGCTTCTACTGATGATGAAAGGCTTTTCCTTTTGTACAGGAGCTTCAGAGGGCAAGCCAAACATATCTGTGCTAACCATGCTTAATAGGCCTCTAGGCTTGTGACACTGTGATGCTCAGATTTGGTTGGTTTTCATAGCCCTTAGAGATGTCACCCCTTAACTCTGTAAAATGTCAGGTATACAGTGAAATATGAAGTCAAAGCCATGAAGTGGACTTCAGAGCCTCTACTATTGAGGTGTATGTAATGTTACCATATAACTTGAATGGATAATATCATCAGTTGTACAGTGCATTGTAGATTAAATAATAGCATTTGGGAATTTAAAATTGTCTCATTAAGATTCTGGAGACACCTTCAGCGAGGTTTGGAAGTCTTTCCTAAGGCACTTGGGTGCAGAAGTGTCTCTAGCAAACACATGGGGCCCGGGTCCTTCTTCCTGATAGGGTGCAGTCTGGGATACCCTCACATCTGATACCTCTGCCTGTATTGCACCATGCCATTCCAGAAAGACATCAGGAAAACATCTTACTGAATGAATCAAGTATGAGTTTATTAGAAATGTCGCATGGTGGTACCCAGAGCCTGCTGCTTTTGGACCAAGTCCCAAATGACACTTTATTTACCATCGTTTATGGTCAGACTGCTCCAGCCTCTAAGCAAACCATGAGATCAAAGAGGACACCTAAGCATGGGTACCAAAGTCCTTAGAAAATCCATCCTTTGTTACCTTTCCTTCCATATCTTTCATAACTGAAGAATATTAAAAGGTAATAGAAATAAAGCATAGGCTTATTTGGGTTCTTGTTGAGAGCAAATGAATAAGAATTGGGGATTTATAGGCCTTGGGCACGTTTTTACAAAAAAAGAGCTTGAGGAGTCTTAGAACATTTTAAGAGGGGTTCTCATTCCAATCCAAATACCTGTCGTTACTCTCGGTGGGTTTACTGCCAATTTATGTAAAAGAATCCAGTTTGATTTAAAAGGGTTGGAGGAGGGAAGAAAGTCCCTTGCCCTGGTCAATCCATTGACAAGTAGTTATTGACTCTTCACTGTAAACTTAGGATGGTGATATAAAGAATATGCAAGAAGTAAGGTATAATTCCTGCAGAAAAGTTACCTAAAGTTTAGTTGAAGAGAATAGTAATGCAACAGCTTATGTGGCAAGCAGTCTGTAGTTAGGAGTTAAATTTATTTTTTATGATTATAAAGACTCTAAAAGAAAGTAGATCAATAAGGATAAAGAAATTTGGGGAAGCTTCCTGGAGAAAATGTAAAAAATAGGTTATCTCTAGCAATAAAAATCAGCATTCAATTCCACAACCATATGTGTATTGCCCATTACATGCTAGGAACTGCAGTAGGTGTTATTTCTGTTCTTTATTTTATTACTCACACATAAATTAATTGATTATGACTGTCATAACAATGGTTAATTATTACTTAGAGCTCAAAGAGTATCACATACTCTACATACAGGCATGACCTATGGATCTGGTAATGGTGTTGTCCCCATGTTGCAAGTGAAGTAATCAAGGCTTACAGAGGTGAAGTAACATACCTAAGCTCACACAGCTAGTAAGAAGTCAGGATTCCAGCCCAGAACTGGTTAACTTAAAAGCCCTAGCTCCTAACCAAGACACTGCTTCTTTGGCTTCATCTGAAATTACACAGGTGACAATTTCTCAATTAAGAATTTGGGCTGCATTGAAGTCTTTGACTTTCCTCAAAAGTGATATTATAGGAAACTCATTTTGCCAGATTTCACAGTATCTCCAGCTATATGATTAATTTCTCAGGGCCCTAATAACCAGAGTTCATGTGAACTGAAATTTAAAAAAAAAAAAAATCAGAATAACTCATGCGCCCCACCAGTGTTAGGATAGTGGGGACTATGTGCTGTGAAATCCCAAAACAATGGTAATTGTGGCATTCAAAAACTTGAACATTGAAAACCAAAAATGTGAAATAGCTTCCAGCCATTTGTCTTTTAATTGAGACTTCATGACATAAATGATGCTGAAGTCTGTGGTGATAAAAGGTGATGACAGTGGCCTTGGCACAAATCAAGCTAACAATTATATATGGACTCTCTAGATGTGCAAAGGAAGGGAATGAGCATTCATTAAATGCCAGACATTGTTCTAAGAATGTAAAATGTTTTGTATGTCAAGAGTGTGTATGAAAGCAATTATCCTGATGTTAACCACAGTGAATCAATCTTTTCTTCCATCTCCAGAAATGAGATTTTTCTTTATCTTTGTCATTACAGATACCAACGCAAGTTATTCAGAAGGAAAACAATACCATTTCCAGAGTTGGTATTCCTGTGTTTGGTAAGTTTCTGTTCTTAATTATTTCCTTCTATGAGTTTGCATTTTAAAATGATTATAATACGCAATTATTGTTGGTGACTGTTTGGAGTCCCTGACCTTATTCTGCTTAGATAACCCCCTTTTCTTGTGAGTAATACATTCTATGAGGTTAAAAGAGCTGACCTTGCTACAGAGCCTATACTTTACCTGGCGAATCAGAGTGTCCATCCCAGGGGCAACAGTGATTGGTCCAGAAATGAGCACCCAATCCAAAGTGAACCAATCAGAGGCTTTCCTGGGATTTTGGCAAAATAAAATGTGTGGGGAAAGACGTTCTACTGAGGCTTTCAGGCTGAGTCAGTATGTGTGTCTGGAGTTTGCGAAGGCTACCCGGCCCAGCCTGTGGTAAGAGCGCGTCTAAAACACGCAAGGAATATGTTGATGACATTGTTGGAGCACTTGGATCTCTGGAGGCTCCAGTTCTGTGAGCCAATGAATTGCCCTTGTTGCTTAAGTAGTTTGAGTTGGGCGGAAAACAGATGGGTTAGAAATACAGTGATTATAGTGAACTCATTGAAACCATGTGGAGTGGCAGAATTACACAGCATTAGGAGTTATAAAACAGTCTTGACAGTGCCATCGACTTGTGACCTCAAGCAAACTACTTAATCTTCCTTTGCCTGTCTCCTTTATCAGCGTTATGCTAATATAGGATCATATAAAATCCAAGGCCCTATTTCATCTTCTGCTTTTATTCCAAGTTCCATTACTTTAACTTTATTAATTCATAGTTATCTCTCGCTTGGAAGTCATAGCATTGCCCTACACTCTGCTTATTAGCACATCTTGCTAGGGCAAGGCTTATTTCTAGATAAAGATCCCATCTCTCTGTTCCCAGGCCTCACTCCACCTCCATCCCAAGCAGCTACCTTGTAAATGTGTGTTGTTAGATAGACACAGGGCTTGCACAGCAATGTTTTGTATGTTTGGCTCTGGGAAAATCCATCCCTTCCACTCGGAAAATCAACTTGACTACTTGCATTCCATGAATAGAAAATCATGTATAAAAGCCGCCATGTGATGTCTCTTTCTTACTGCCTTTATTTTTTCCTTTATATTCCTTATAGCACTGGGTCCAATGAATGATTTCTGCACAAATACACAATAAAAAATTCTAATTCTTTTGAAAAGGGGACTCACATCTATTACACTCAAACACCAACACGTATGTGCCCGTAGACTCTAAGACTAGAAACTCCACTTTAAACTACAGTGAAATCATAATTTTGCTGAATGTTCTGTTGTACTATTTGTCATTTACCTCTTGAACTAAGTCAAAAGTATTATATATGGAGATCAGCATGTCTTTTGGATTTAATTGTGTACAGATTATTAAACTTGTAGAAACACCTGGGATTCATCCTATTGAGACTCTGCTATGTGACAAGCTGCCCAGGAAGAGTCCCAGTTCTGTGTGTGTTCAAAAATAAACAGTAAGCCTCACACTAAAGCCAAGAGAGTGCTTGAAATTTACAATATATTACTATTATTTATTGGGTACAGACATAACAACACCAGTACTATAGTTAGACGAGTGAGTTCTCCTAGTTGGCTCCTGTTAGAACGACCTGTTAGTAATTGAATTTACTTCCAGTGTACCCAGATATTAACAGATGTGTTTCGTTAGCTGTGATAGCCACCATTTATAAGTTCTGTAAATACTTTTATATCCAGTTTTATATATAATTTATAAGATCCTAGACTACACAATTTATGTGACTTCTATAAAGTTGGAGTTTTGTTTTTTTTTTTCCTCCCAGACTGGTGCCTCCTGAGCACTTAGTTTTCTGGGAACCTCTAGTTAATTTGCTGTGTAAGCAGAGAGAACTTGGAAACCTGTCAGGGAGTTTGACATTTTCTAAAAGTCCTTCCCTAAATCTGATCAATGACACACTTGAATATGCTTACAAAAATGTATGGTTTCCCTTTTGCCAATGATACTTAAGGACAGACCTTTGGATCCTGTTTAGCATAAACCACCAATGTCAGAGCTACAGTGTGTGTGATGACCCAGTGAAAGCAGCACTGGGCTAGGATGTCCCCTACTTCCACTTCTTTGTGCGTGTGCTATTCAGGTGGCCTTCTAATCGATTGCTCTGGCTCCGGTATTTTCTCTTTGACAGTTCATTCTGACAACATTAAAGTTATTTTCCAAAGTGACAGCAGCCCCCCAAATCATCATCCCCATTAAAAACCTCCCATTGACTGCTTGCTGCCTCTAGGATTAATAATGATAATGGTAATAACATTAATAATGATGAGAGCCAGCACTTACTGGATTTACTCTATGCTGGACACTATGCAATGTACTTTACTTACATTTTCTCATTTAATTTTCATAGTAACTCTCCAAAATGGGGATGGTATGGAAACTAAGGCTCACAGAGGTTTGGCAATTTATCCACGATCACATAGGGATAGTATGTGATAGAACCAGGATCCAAACCCACATCTGCCTGACTGAAGTTCATACTCTTATTAACCATGATGCTATTCTGACTCTTCTTCCTAATAAAACCCAGGCTCCTTGGTGTTCATTTCATAAAAGGTCAGCCCTTCATTTGTTTTCATAAGTCTCTTAATACTCTAACACATACCCTCTTCTCTAGCTCAGTTTTCTTTTTATTGTCCTTAAAAAGTCATATTCCCAGGCCGGCTGAGTGGCTCAGTTGGTTAAGAGCTCGCTCAAAGGTTTGACCTCTGAGCAACAGTGGTTCGAGTCCGGCCCGAGCTGAGCTGCCGCTGAGCTGCCAACAGGTGGCAGGATGGCTCAGCTAAAAAAAAAAAAAAGTCATATTCCATCTTTCAATTCTTTAATTTTTCTCATGTCTCCCAATGTTTCCACTTTTGCTTTTGCTTTCCACCTGTATTATGTATTATACCCATTCTCTGCGTCCTCACTCAGTCATTCAATGAACGTGTCATTATTAAGCACCTGCTGGTTGGTTATTATCCTTGTCTTTCATAAACTCACTAACTAATGAGGGCATCAGCTATGGGGCAGGGGGCCCTATCCCATACTAGACATAGCTGGAAAAGGTGACCCCATTCCAGCGCCTAGTGCTCAGAAAGGTATTGGGAAAGAAACAAAGTCCTAATCTCTTTATTAAATCTCATATCTTCAGTGGTGAACAACCTTGTTTCTTTCAGGTAAATTGTAAACTCCTTGAGCAAAAAACAAAGCCCTATGTTTTTTTAGTATTACTTTCACTCATAGCTTGGATATAAGTGTATAGTAACTATCTGGCATGTTCTCACCTAGTAACCATGTGTGTGTAAGATATGTTTTATGTCCTGCATACTTTTTCCAAAGGATTTCTTTGTGGCATGTCTGTATTCAGTAATATGAATGTCTATATCGGCAAGTATATTTCCAAATATACAGGAGGTTATTGTGCTGAAGGCTAAAGAGCAATGGAATAGGAACCAGGAATTTAAGAATAAGATTAAAAGCTGCTGATAGATGTGTGTCACTTGATAATATCCTCTCTGAGGAGAAAAGTGATGATTTCTGCCTTATTGGCTCTATAGAATTATTATGTTAAACCAATTGGCAAGTGACCTGAAAGTTTCTATAAAATATATCCCTTACTAGTGATTCTCAAAGTGCAATTCAAGGAACCCAAGGGGGATGGGGTGGGGCTCCCCATATCAGAGTTCAACTAGAGAAACAAAATCAGTAGGAGATACATATAAGACTTTGATTGCAAGGAATTGGCTTTCATGATTGTAGGGCTGGTGAGGCAAGTGTGTCGCTCTGCATTCAAGGCCTTTCAGTTGATTGAATCCGGCCCATCCAGATTATCTAGGATAATTGCTCCTATTTAAAACCCACAGATTATGGACTCGAATCATACCTGCAAAATACCTTCATGGCAACACCTAGACTAGTGCTTGATTGAACAACTGGGGACTGTAGCCTAGCCAAGTTGACGCATAAACACTAACCATCACAGTCCCCAAACTCTTTCACAGGATACACAAATCCTCCTTTCTCCAACTATGTATGAAACTGGGTTTTTCTTCATAAACTTCAAACAAAACAACCTAGTACAACAGAGTTAGCAAATATGAGAAACCAGCTATCTTCTACTAACCCAAATACTAAAGAGCTTTAGAAAAATTCTCACTGATTTTTTGTTTTGAAAAATATAGTTATTTTCATAAAAATATATTACATATTAACATGTAATAATATATTCTTTTTAAAGAAATGAATAATTATTTAAAAATGTTCTAAGTCTCTAATATAGTACATATAGATGGGTATAACGCACATAAACATAAACTCATTAGGATCCTAAATAATTGTCAAAAGTGTAAAGGAACCCTGATTCCAAAAGGATTGAGAACCACTGTCCTATACAAGTATAATGATTATTTAACCTGACTTTTATCAACATAAGAAACACTTCAGTAGTTATCCTTTATTGGGCATAAATCATTGCAAATGTCTTCTGTTGCACAGCATACAATCTAAACTTGACCTTATTTTATGAATATCAAAGCTATCTAATCTGTTCTTCCTCATGCACTGATTTAAACGAATTATTATTTAAAGAATTGCAAGCTCCTTTTGTGACCTCCCAATGACTTGACCTAGTGCTATAAAATACCTACTTGAATTTTGTCTATAGGTACTTTCAACATCGGTATTCAGTATTTTATTCTGAAACTTTTTTCTGCAGATCTCAGTAAGTTATCCCTGCCAAGTTTCCTTACCTCATGGTCAAAGTATTTCTGCCAGGGATATTTTTACTCATGTTTTATATATCAAAAAGTAGTGAGCTAAAAAAGGTGAGTAGGAAGGGAATTGTGGTGACTTTATATGCCAGTGAGTAATCACTGAATTATTTTTCCCTACTTAGTCACCTTTGGTTAACCAGAAAAACTGGAGGTAAGAAAGTGATGGAAAAGTCAAAATTATGATTAAAAAAAATGGCACCAAAAGATGGTGCAAC